CAGTGACATACTTGGTCAGGCTCTGTTTGCACTATTTGCACTCTGTATTGACAGAGTAGAACTTTGATTTGGTTTTGCACATAATATTGTTTTGCACTTGAAAAGTTTTATATAAAATTTTATTTATTTTATTTGAACTTTTATAAATTTTAGTTTTAGTTTCAATTTGTGGAAGAAGAAGCTTATTAAATGCTCATGCTTACATCATGCATGTAAAGAGTAATCATAAAACATTTCAAAATGAATGTGCAACTCGGTTAAATAAAAGTCTGTTGGTCCAGTCATATATTTTGTCATTGTAGTTTTCTTAAAATCTCGTCTCATCTCGTTCTCGTGAACCCAATATCGTGTCTCATCTCGTCTCGTGAGTCTATCGTCACACCCCTAGTTGACAATGATAAAAATTTAGCCTTATTCTTAAATTGCCATATAGGCAATTACATCCACACAAACACAATCACACACACAAACACACACACACACACACACACACACACACACTTTATTCCATTATGGTGCAAAACCAGACAGAGACACAGCCACATGCACGTTTGCACAAACAAATACCACAAACACATTATGAAATCAATACCCAGAATCTGAGGGTCATGTTTATGGTGTGAGTAATGGACAGAGGGCTGCCGTGGTCCTACTATCTGTCTAGTATGCCTCAAGATCGCCACTGAAAGCTTAAATAACGCACCCAGTCAGGGTGAGAGCCTGATTACTCCTTCTCTTCCTCTGCTCCTTTAATCTGCTCCCTTCACTATCTACATCTCCCTCTCTTACTAGCAGTTCCTCCTCTCTGGTCTGGTTGTCCTACTTATCCACATCACTCTCTTTTCTTTCCCTTTTTGCTTGGTCTCAAACTGTTCTCTGTTGATCCCCCTGTTGCCACATTTCACTCATCTTCCTCTTTCTTCACTTTCTCACTTGAGACAAATGTAACAGACGGAAATTCCAGACAGATAAAGAGATGTACGTTCCAGTATCTAGGATGGATACAGACAGTCTGTCAGAGGCCGACGAGCAGAAATGAGAGCAGAAAAATGTGAGAGCCTGCAGTGTTCCCTCAGAGCTTAAACATAATTACAGTGTTTTAGATGTAATTTTGAAGTTATACCATGTATTACACCCTTGTAATGATTGTCAAATCGGGAACTCTGCGCATTTAGTTCTGGGTGCAGATGTAAAAACCTACTTGAAAGAATCTGTAAAAATAGATTTATGGGAAGCTGGGAGATATCCGTGCACTCAAAGTGAAATCTTTGTTTGGATTTTCATTATGAAGTCAGCCATGTGCAATTCTGGGCACTGAACTGGACAGGTTGATGACTACTCACCTCTCTTTTGATATTAATAGACAGGATATGAAGGTGCAGCCGAGGTCTGATATTAAGGTGGCATCTCTTCTATTTGCAGATGATGTTGTCCATTTGGTTTTATTGGAATTTAATCCCTGATGTACTATGAAAGAGTTTGCAGCTCAGTGTGACGCTGCTAAGATGAAGATCAGCACCTTTAAGTCTTATAATAGGCTTCTCTTTTCATAATGAGTGAATTGCTTAACCCTTAAATGCAAACTTAGTGTCTTTAGGACTATATTACACTCTGCCTAGCAGCTGAGATGAATCAAGCCACAGCTCCTTTACAATGATAGGAGCCAGTTCAGGTAGTTTGAGCAACTAATAAGGATGCTTCCTGGTCTCCCTTTGAAATCCCCCAGTCAGACTGTGGTTCTTGGAGGAACTTCTTCGGATAAAGACCATTGAAAACTCTTCTAAAAGATAGGTCAGATCAATCTGCATGACAGTTTTAATTAATTGAATCACCTGAAGAATTTTTGTGTTTCTGTTACCTTAGAATGAGCCTTTTATATTTATAGATGCTGCACTGTCCACAGAGTCTGCCATGTCTCTATAATAGCTCAGAACGGACAAAACAAACACTGCCTCTAGATAGGGTCTTACATGTTTTTCTTGAGTTCTGCGGCCACTGTAGTTTCTACTTTGTGCTGTTGAGTCACAGGATCTCAGTTGATTGCAATCAATAATCTCACTAGATGCCACTAAGACCTACACACTGGTCCTTTAATAAAGACACCAGGCAATAATTGACCTTGTTTCATCATTCCGAGAAACTGTGATCTGATTTTATGCTGCACACAGCATGAGTCTGCTAACAGCAGGGTTCAGTGGAGCGAGTTGGTCACCTTGCTGAGAAGTTGGAGGTGTGCAGCCTGTCACCTGCAACTCTTCATCTAACAGTTCATTGTGGCTGCTCCTTCTCGTTCCATTACTCCATCAAATATTGACACTCAAAAAATGACAAAATAACCGTTGTCTTGTTTTGTAGAAGCATTTTCTGCGAACAATAGCAGTCAGTGCTAATCTCAGTGGCAAACACACTGCATTTCCTGTGACTAGTTCAAAATAAAAGTCCACTCTTGACTTTTAATGTGAAGCTGCAGCAGTAGGAAATGTTAATGTTAATACACCAAAATATTTCCAACACCCAGTTTGAGATAGATAGTGACTCAACAGACATTTATTTAAATGAAAATCATAGAGATTATTACTTTAATTGTTTATTGCAGCAGTGGGGCACATTTTCATTTAGCAGCGTGGCTCTGCTCCTATGATCCTGCAAGTACAAGTGTGACACAGACTTGTCTCTAAGCTCACAAACACAGAAGAGAGCGTGAGATACACAACACTTAAATTTACATGGACTCATTCTGAATGGACAAATCTAAATGCTAATGCAGGAGGAAGCGGGGGAGGTGGAGGGAGTTAAACTACTGAGAAGCAGGTTGTAGCAGCATGGAAGCCGAATGAATGAGCACCAAATCTGTGTGCTTCCCAGCTGCTTGAATTAATGATCTTGGTCATATATGATTGGAGATATATGGGACACGTGAATTTAAAATGACTGCTATGCCTGCCTGAACTACCATGTGGCTCAATTTAGATGTAATTGTCAAACCCCTATATTATATACAGTACGACCATCATATGCCTGTTGGTTAGTTACAATAAGTAACAGCTGTTTCTCGTTGCAGATGTCTGTATTTCCTGTCACGATTTTTTAAACTATACCCTTTACATATTAAATATCTATACAGGGCTTTTGATTGATGCACCTGCTGCTCAGTCACAGACAATTTAACCTCTTTGGTGATGTGTTTGTTGTCTCATGTTGCTTTGAAAACTCACATATCAAAGAGCTGATCGTCAGACCTCTTTTATAACTCACAAATGCTGGTAAACGCCATTCAACCTCTCACGACCTACTTTGTAGCCGCATTTGCAATGGATATTGAAACACTTCAAAGTTAAAGCCCTGATGTACATAAATTGTAACACACATGCTGCCTCATGAAATATAAGAGCAAACACGGGGATAAAAGACATGATGAATGATGATAGATACGGACTCTACTTATTTGAGCTGAATATTCCTGCGTTTTACATCTGGACCACTCGTGGGAGATGTATGTAGCAGACCATTTAACATAGACCCTCACCCCTCTCTGAGAGCCATGACAATGTTCAGTTTGTGTTCAGCACATGTGCACAGTGTGAACAGGGAAATACTCTCTCAAATGCATTTACAGATGCAGTTTTACACGGGCTCGGTGCAGTATCTGTCATGCAGGAGAGACTGGAAGGAAAAAAGTGAAAACACCAATGTTGTTATGCAGAACTGGACATGAAGAGAACTGTTGCAGTGTTGAATCAATAAATATTTGAAATGAGATAAAATACAAAGTGATCCGTGCCACACGAGTGACAACATCAATAGCTATAAATCATATGAATGCTCCCCAGACAGAAGAAATGGCATGAGATTGATTACAGAGCCTCTGAAAAACCAACACGGTTAGATTCAATATCAGGAGACGGTGGATACACGGGCATATACTTTGGACTCAGACAAAGAGAGAGAGAGAGAGAGATAGAGAGAGAGAGAGAAGAAAAAAAAGATCAGGAATGTGAGTGAAACAAACCTGTTCAAAGAATTCGTCCATGAAGCCTTTTTCCATCCCCACTGCCACTTCATCCTCCTCCTCTGTTGTCTCCTTACCCTGGACAAACACACACACACACACACACACAATAGGGAATTATTTGAAACAGCTAAAAGGTAAAACAATGAAAATGTTCACAGAAATAATTCAAAAGACGCAAGACATGCTCCGAAATAACACTGGTCACCACTGGACTGGAACATGTCATGCATAATTCAAGGTTAAATAGGACATTGTTAACACCTCTCCACCCATCAACTGATTAGAAATAAGGAGCACTTAACGGCACTTGTAATTAGAACCACAGGTCGAGTGATTAGCAAGTTATTATTGAATTAGGACCTGGGGGAAGTAAAAACCTTGACTTTTATACACCTTTTTACAGAGGTTACAGATACATGAAGACATTTCAGCCTGAAGGAATGGTTCAGAATTTGTGTGAAATATGGTTATTTGCTTTCTTGCTGAGAGTTAGACGAGAAGAACATCACTCTCATGTCTGTCTGTTAAATATGAAGCTAGTTAAAAGACGGTTAGCTTATCTCACTATAAAGACTGGCAACAGGGAAACATTTCAAATCCACCTAACAGCACCTCTAAAGCTCACTACATTCTCACTTCTCATCTACAGTAACTCTCTGCAAGAAAGTGAAAGCACATATTTCCCCAAATGTCCAAATGTACAATATGGGAAGCTGCTTTCACTGTCAAAATGACAAGATGTAACATTAGACGACCAAAAAAAAAGTTAGTAGTGTTTTCTGCTGTACGTGTATTGGCATATGTCTGGTGTTACTGCTGGTATATTTATATCAGCACAGTCTGAAATTGTTGGCATGTATTGTAATCTGTAAAAAGGTTTTCATTTCTAACTCAAACTATAACAAAACAAAAATTCAGGCCTCACAGGGACTTTAAATTACTTTAATTGATGCTAAAAGAGAGCTTCCAACATCCAAAAATTTAATTCATCTTTAAAAGTTACAACTTCTCAAACTTTCTGGCATCGAACTAATGATTCATTCTGAAATACTAATTTCTAATCACATATCAGCCATTACACTACATTAGCTGGGGTCTCATGCGGCTTCTATCTCATTCATCTAGCCTCTGTCAAACTAATTCAATTCCCCATTAGCAGTCTATGAGATCCATTTGCTTATCAACGCTGTAGAGGAGGACTATAGTTTTCATCTTCTTCTGACTCCTTATTCTCATCCCAAAGATTTCCCAACAGTAAGGAGAGAATCTTAGAGATACAAGTTCACATGTGACGTGTAGTTTCTATTATCTTTGGTTAATTAATGTATTGGCTGATTAACTGATCAGTAGATCGAAAGAAATTTTATTTGCAGCCATTTCAATAATCATTTTCAAGCAAACGTTCACTGGTTCCACTTTCTAAAATGTGCAGATTTAATTTATTATTGGATTGGACTCTTGAATATGGAAATTTATAATCTTTCTACATTTTAGACATTCATTTCATAGATATTTCATGGACAAAACTATTTCTTGATTAACTGAGGAAATGCAGCTCAAGACTACAGAAGAATCTCATATAAGGAATAATGCATATAACAAAGTCTTTCTCAACAACAGGCAACTCAAGTCTCCAGTCTCCAGTCTCCAGCAACTCTAAATGTTTATTTTTTAAATTCTTATTGACCCAAAGGTTAAGTCTTATAAGTTTAAAAAGAATTCATTTCCATATTGTGTGCTGTGGATCACAGAAAAGGTGTTGGGTTGTGGTGTGATATTGGAGTAGAAGTCACCGTCAAAAGCTTCAGTTTCTACACATTCTACTTTTTAACAAGGAACCGCTGTAGAAACCAATATCCTGAGCAACCCCCAACATTTTAAAACAACCACATATTTAAGAACCACAAGGACTATCAAGATATTATTTTCATTCCAGCCGCAAGTGCCGGCAGTAGGCCAGGTTTGTCCAGACAAAGACACTAATGTGAATGCATTAAAGGAACTGTGAGTTGGGGGAGCAATTTTCAATAGAAGGAATGGACTGATTCTGTTGAACAGTTTAATACGTCAGTAATGGCTGCATTATACATCAGTGGTATGCTAATCTAGAGCAAACTGATATCTGCATCTGTGCTATAATCATGACTGTATGATCTGTGTGGTTCTGCGAAAGCTCTGTTTCAATATTGTTTTTTTACACTGAATTTATGTTAGTGTATGGTCAAATCAGCTGCTTTTCCAAATGTATATTTCCATTTATGCACCCATTTATGGTTGTTGTTGTTTTACAGTCCTTTAACTGTCCTTGAACAGAATTGAGACACTTGTATCAGCGTATGTCTGGTGTTTACTTACTGATAGGGGCTTATTCAGACAAACACAAATCTGACATAGACAGGGAAAGCAGGGAATAAAGGTAGGGAAATGGAGAGAAGAACAGTGGGAGAAGAACCAGTTCTTGAGAAAGACGTCTGAGGGGACAGACTTCAGTGAGAGATGAGACAATTGACCCTTCAAGCACCTTTTTGCTCTGTGCTCCAATAACAGTTGAGGAAGCCTCAGTCAGAAACTCGATTAACTTGCTAATTTCCTGTAGGCCTACTTAGATACACTATGTGCTAGACGTCAATATTGAAAAAACATCAACATTTTGAAGATGGTTGAAAGATAAACGCAACATATATATAGTCACATCTCAAAATGCTAGCTAATGAGCTAGCTAATCTACATCAATCGTTAGTTAGCTGACATTTTGTTGCTTTTATCTTTTTAGCCATCTTCAAAACCACAGTGATCAAGCTAACTATCTAAACCCATTATATATATCTAATAAATATAATCAAGGAAAGACAACATGACAAAAAACATTCAATTAATAAATAATTCTGTTTTTCCCAATTTGAGTGCTTAATGTGATCAGCTGTCCTGACAACAGTCAATATGATGGGCATAATTTTCTTGTCTCATTTTGAAGCAAAACTGTTCATTCAATAAATAAAGGTTTGGTGTTGGTATGGCAATGAAGTGCATTTGAGTAACTGCAGACAACTAGAAGCAGAGAGAAAAGAGGCAGCAACAGCAGGAGGCAGGGGAGGAGGAGGAGGAGGACAGTGCTGAGGTCTTCGCTGATAGATATTCAGCAGACAGTCGCTTTCTGCCCACACTGTCAGCGGGGATGCTGCCACTGGGTCATGCTCGCAGACACACAAGCCTCTTATGCTGCAATGTCAACAGCTGCAAGACTCCAGTTGCTACTGTGTGCTTGTTTTCTTCTGCATGTGCGTTCATCTGTGCACACATGCATGTGTCACTCACATGTTTTTCTTTGTGTGCACTAAATCAGCGCTTTATACAATCCAGCGCTTTGTCTGTTCTGTCCTTTGCCAATCCTCTTGCAAGGGAACGGCTCTGTTTTCCTAACCCAGCTGTCATGTCAACAGTCAGTCAGTCAGTCGGTAAGACATTTAGTCAGGCAGCAATGCAATTCTTCCCCTAGACCCGGCTAGGGCTTAGATACTTTACTTCCTGAGCCATGGAAAAGGGTCAAAGCACAAGCCACAGATGGCAGAACCCGGGTTGAGCTTTGGAGAAATCCAACTCTGCTCAGGGTTGGAGAGCTCGAAGGTC